AAGTTTAGATTTTGGCACCATTTCTTCTCGGTAGGTGGATTCTGATTACTAAATCAGCTGCAGACATACGATGCAAAGAAAAAAAAAACCTTCCTTGTTGCCTGTACATTTTCTGCACAATTTCTGTACAGGTTTAAAAATAACCGTTGCTTTCTTTTGAATGGGCGTTGAAAACGAAAAGCTCACACGTAAATTCAGGCGCGTGCCATATTATCAATATAAAACTCATCTTTACACGTAGTTCTAGTTCATATATACTCGTATATTTAATCCATTGCTAGCTAATTAGCGTAGGATGTTATTCAAGCTGAACTGAAAGTAACCCCAACGTTAAGACTTCCGTTTCATTAGAACTACACCCATCATCTCGAATTACTTGCTGTTCTGCTCTCGATATCGGGGCCCAAAATCTGATACTATTTTCTCTCGAGTTAAGGATCTCCGAATCTGAATAAATTCCTTAGGACAAGATACGACCAAGAGTATCACAAGACTTTTGCAGAAGTCAGGCACTCAGCAGAGATAGGATCATTGCAAAATTTGCATAGCAGTAGTTGTTCTAATTCTCGTGAGAATGGTGTTGCCTTTCAGTCGGTCTGTATCTGGGACTCCAGGTACTGGCATTTTTCAATGGCAGTAAGTGCTGTATAGGTGCTGGCGGTTGGAACAGCATTGTTTGAACCGCCCACCCACGCACAGCATGTATAAATATGAGTTGATACTGAGGCCAGCACAGTAGCGACACTCTGTTTCATAGTTGTGTGTGGAAAACTTTATATATATTATATATATTATATAGAGGCATTGGCAATAAAAAAATGAAAGAAACCAAGTGTCGATAATATCAGTTATGAATACGGCCACAACGGGCTGACCGTGTTCGGAAATTAAAATGTTGCTACTGCTATATATATATATATATATATATATAAATAAACCAAGAATTACTTTTAATTGTGAAGGCTACTCTTAGGAGTATATTTTCGCTTTAATTATATTTTCTGTTTATACGTTATTTTTATAGATACAATTTAAGGAAATGATCTTTTTTTTTCTTTAAGCAGTATTAATTACATTCACCGGCCTCAATATTCGAGAAATTTTGTAGAAAATGCGTTCTCCGACAGGAATCGAACCTGTATTTCTATACTGAAACCGTCACTTGACCTGATGTGCTGTACTATTCTGCTACAGAGATTGCGTCTGGTTAGCAAATTAGTCCAAATTACTGTTTATAAACACACAATCTTAGACGATTTTTCTCGATCGATCATTTCTGTTCACGAAACGTATCTTAACGTAAACAATGACAACATTGTAAAAATATAATTAATACTGTTTAATTAAAAAAGAACAAAACAGACATTTACTTAAATACATTGTATCTATAAAATATCGTATAAACAGAAACTATATTAAAATAATTGTCTAAATTATATATATATATATATATATATATATATATATATATATATATATGGTGGTACTCGTTTGGAAAAACCTCTGATAGCTTGACTTGCAGTAGAACAAATCGGTACCCGAGGAAAAACGGGGAATAAAAAAAAAAAAAAAAAGAACCAAGAACATTAAAACATCTTTAATCTTTACCCTGAAGATCCGTTTAGGTGAAATCTAGGTAGGTTTGCCTGGCTCCTTAGGATTATCTTATATATAAAATAAATATTACAAAATATACAAATTTATGTAAATAAATGTTAGGTTCCTAGACTTTAATAACTTTAACTACGATACTTCTTGGAGCATGCCATGCCCAATGGAGTTTCATTTTATTTATTTTTTATTTTATTTTATTTATTTTTGCATCTTGTCTCTTCGAAAAAAAATACCTACGCAGTAGGCAGCATTGTCTTCGGTTTGATCTTTCCACTTCATTTGCAGGCAACTCTTTCAGGACACGACGTAATCTCCTAAATCCTAGAATTGCTAAATAGTGATTAAGACAAGAATCTTGAATGAATTACGCCTGCATCGTTGGAAACGTCAAAATTATCAGTTGACATTCGCGGAGCTCCAATGAAATGTCACTTGACGAAAGGCCGCCATTTAAGTGTTAATACAAATTCTTATGTAAATTTAATTTCAAACACAGTGACTCTTTTTCTTTCTTTTCTTTTCTCTTTATTTTATGAGCAGGATTTTATAAGTATTCTCTTAATGGTGAAATATTCGTTAAAATTGGTTTTCAATTTCATTTGACCAAAAGTGTTGTTCGCCGTCAAAACCATTGTTCTTTTTACATGGTAAAATGTTGCCAAGAAACGCTTTGCTCCCCAACCACCTTAGGTAAATATACAGCCAATTTCCTATGTCTCTCCACTGAGACAAGATACAACACAGGCTTAACGTGGGGGAACCCGAGCGCGTACACTCGGGCCAGTTACAAAAAATTTCCCAAGCCCCCGCAACCGTCGATTATGTTGGCCTCTGTGGCGTACACCAACCCCGCCTCTCTAGTGCAATGAGAGGGTGCAGCTCAAAGTATTATTTTTTTCTCCGCTGTGATGATGTCCGCAGATAGAGGCCACAACTGAATCGCGTCCTGCTCGAAGAGAGAGACGCAACTGAGAGATAATATTCCTCCCACGGCATGGACCGTGGATGGCAAGTTTTTAGGAAACTGGCAGCAAAAATTCTTAAAAACCAACGTAAGAAAGCAGTGAAGAGTCAAAAAATATATAAACTCTATCCAGAACGGAGAGGAATAATCGCTTGGGAATACCAGGTGCTGTAAGGTTAGATGTGCAGGTGGTGAAATGGATAATGGCTCAGAATTGTCAATCGGGAAGAGAAGTTCATCTCCGGTTGGGTTCGTAATATTCACTTACGCGCAAATACCGTTGGGAAAAGTATGAATCCACATCTTCTCCCCCCAGCTATAGGTTAATTAGTGAGAATTGTATCACTAAATCATTCTCCACGAATTCTTACAATTAAAAATATTTTTCGTTTTAAGTAACCTGCCATGGGTTGATAAACCATAAAGATACGAATCGATCAATTAAATACTGATTACCAATAGATCATGTCTTCAGATTTATTTCTCGGGAATATAAATGCATAGAAATTACCATAGTCACAAAGTGAAGGATCATTTTATATATTGATTGTAATATAGAATTGATATATCCACAATTCTTTTATCAAATTCTGATAAGGTATAAATCCATCTGTCTCTCCCCTAGCTATGGGCTAATTAGCAAGACTAAATTATCTCAAAAAATATTCTTAGTCTAAAAATATTTTCTGGTTTTAAATAACCTGCAATGGGTTGATAAACTGTAGAAAATGAATCGGTGAATTGTAAAATAAATTATTACTTTTTATCTTTTATAGGATGGCATCATCTGATTGTTTTATAAATATTTTATGTCGTGAGGTTTTTATAACACGCCTACGTCAGAGCACATATTGCCAGCAGTATGCATTTTTACATTAAATATTGATTTAAAGATCTGAAGAAATGCTCTTTTGTATCAGATACAAATACCGACACGATTAAATTAATTCTTTGCGTTTTCCCTAGCACAGTGTTGATTTTCTCCCAGCATAATTTTTTCTCGAGGAAAAAAAATCTCTGCTTATAATTTTTAAAAATTCCCATCGGCATGACTATTCCAGACAGAATTTATATTTGTAAATCATTGTTTATCGTTGATATTAATATTTCTCATATAAAATACATAGTGTTTCATTAAGACGGATCAAAGTCAGCACTAAATAAAACGGTGTTCTTGGTGAAAATCTATTTTTCTGTTGGATCATGTTACTTAAGTCATGGCAAATATGTGTGAAAAATAATATGGCCAAATGTCCGCCAAATCTAAAAGAAAAACCTAATTAGACGCTTAATTCACATTTAAAATCGGTTCAAGTTATTGGAACACCCTTATATATATATATATATATATATATATATATATTGTTGTTGCAGTTGTATATTTTGTATGCCATATATACAGACGTCATTATCACTTGAAGGAAACCTTATTGGCCAACACGTTATCAAAAAGGTGGACGCTGGCGAATAGAACAAATAATGTAGACACAATTGAAGAAAATAGCAAATGCGGGTAAATTGGAACAAGATTAAAACACATTTTGATTGTAAACAAATTGACGAATAATAAGTTTCCAAAAGGTGTATAAAATAGAAAAAATACTCATATACAGATAAAGAGTGTTTCATTAAGACGGATCAAAGTTAGGAGTAAATAAATCAGTGTTATTGATGAATGTTTGTTTATTTCTCTATTGGATCATGTTATTTAAGTCATGGCAATTATGTCTGAAAAATATCGCCCAAATGTCCGCCAAATCTGACAGAAAAAGAAAATCATTAGACGCTTAAACTTGATTCACATTTAAAATCCGTCCAAGTTATTGGAACTTTCTTTATATATTAACTAATGTTCACTTAATACAACACCTAAGAGCCACTCAAAGTAGTGGGTTATTGTGTGATGTTGTATGAGCATAATTAAAGGCAAGAACTGCAGTTCATGATGTTATATAGGAAAGTTAATGGTTAATTCTTGACTTGAAGAGGTCAAGATTGTAATGATCTGGAAAACATCCTACCAGGAGCTTGTTCCACAAAGCAGCAGTTCTTGAAAAGAAGCTGTCTGAGTGGAACTTCCATTTTATTAATGAAATACAGAGGGAATGGGGATGATTCGTACTTGTGTACGTGGCATGGAATTCGTGTTAGTCTACTTGTAAATTTGTTTGTATATTTTATATCTTTGTTTCCTATTATGCGGGTACCGAAATATTTGCGTCCCGCGAGAATGGGAATCTAACATATTCCCGTTAAGACTGCTGCCTTCACGTCGTACTACTGCCCTTGGGGAAGGCATAAATAAATCTCCCCCCAACATCCGCACTACAAACTACAGTTTAAATAACCGTTTAGACTTCTCTAGTTTTAAATGGCAGATAGTCTAGAAAGAAAACATTGAATTCAAATAAATTGGACAAACATGGACTCTTGCACTCACAAGTCTCTTCATATCTCTACACATCTCTTCATATCTCTATATATATCTCTACACATCTCTTCATATCTCTATATATATCTCTACACATCTCTATATATCTCTCTATATCTCTCCATATCTTCATATCTCTCTCCATCTCTCTTCATATCTCTCTTCATATCTCTCCTTATCTCTCTTCATATCTCTCCTTATCTCTCTCCATATCTCTCCTTATCTCTCTCCATATCTCTCCATCCCTTCATATCTCTCTCCATATCTCTCCATCCCTTCATATCTCTCTCCATATCTCTCCATCTCTTCATATCTCTCCATATATCTTCATATCTTCATATCTCTTCATATCTCTCCATCTCTTCATATCTCTCTCCATCTCTCTCCTTATCTCTCCATATCTTCATATCTCTCCACATCTCTCCATATCTCTCCGCATCTCTATCGCTACATATCTTAAGTGGGGCTTGCGTGGTCTAATGCCTTTGAGAGCGATGCCGTCAGCAGCTCTAAACTCCTGCGAGAGCCAACTTTGGCGCAAGATCGAAGACAAGGGCATAGGCAGTGGCGGAACAAGCGGACGAAGTTTAAAACAGATCTCAACGGTTAAACCAGCGTTCTTTTCACACTCCGTCTTATCGCAGACACGGATGCCCCTTCTTTCTGACGATAAGCCTTAAGCGTGCCATAGCCATCACGAAAAACTGTTGCTTTAGAGATTTTTTTTGTACTCGATCCCATGAGGAAATAAGTTTGTTCGAAACGTCACCGATTTTATGTGGCAATTAAAATAAAGCAAGTCCTCTCCAGTTTTAATAAACTGTTCATTTTATTTCATTCGTCAACTATCCGTCCTACGAACAGAGAAAATTTGTCATAAAAGTTCACTTAGCTCCTCTAAAATCTGTATAAGTTATCGTTAACGGCTGGCCACTATTATTCGAGGATAGCCGCCCTTGTAGACGGATACCTAATCCCTCTTGCGGACACTTGTTCAGGAGCATTTTGTGTTTGTTCAAGATCCACAGAGCCCACCCTTGGTTTATACTGCAGCTACGCTGAACAGACCTTAGTTACAGTTTCTGGGAGTGAAGCGTTTTATCTAACGTGATCAATCTGAAAACAGCCAGCACGCTCCAACCATCAGTCATGATGACTTGTGGCTTCGTGCTAGCACATCCGTCGATGGCTCCAAAGGGGTTCCGTATACCCAATTTCATACACAAGGATTGGCTCAACCTGTGATAGTTTTCAGGCACTTTCCAAATGTGCCGCCCGCTGGGACCCCCCCTCCAGACCGATAACACCAAGAAGACACCTTTTTGACAAATCGGCGTCCTGGGTAAGACGATAACCTTACGGCCAACAGCAAGCTCTCTGATCAGGAGATTTTGAGGAGCGTGGAACCACCTATTAATTGCCGGTGTTCCCATGTCCACACTGACCCTGGATGGTGGCACCTGTCAGTCACAGCTATGGGCAAATAGCCAACCCCCAAACTGGGGTCAAATCACTATGAAAGTGTTACAATCGATTTTATTACCTGCAATACATTATTAACAATACATTTTTGAAGAAAAAATATATTTTGGGGAAAATATTACCAGCAATAAAAATCTTGTCGGCATTAAATAACCCATTGAGGTTGATATACCGTAAAACAAACCAAACCTGGCAAATCGACCATGGTGATATTTATTCTGTAACACAGAATTGTGGCGACAAATCGACCATGGTGAGTTAGAAAGCGAACGTTCTAATCATTCGGCCACGTGTCCATACGGGTGACAGAATTAATTTCATGTTCACCACCGCGACGCGAATGAGTTCGAACTTTTATTGTCGATAACTCGAAAACGATAGATTTTATTAAAATTTCTTTATTTTCGAATTAAGCATGTACATTTACACCTAAATGGAACTATTCGGGAAATTTTTATTAGAATCTGAGAGTAAGCTTGACAAGAAAATTACCCTCGAGTTGAAATTAGTTCTGTCACCCGCCCATACTGTGTATAAATAACATTTACAAAAAGACATTTATTATTTAAAATTTATTGCCGGTATACGAAGTCCACTTGAATTTCTTACTCTGAAAATATCTGCATCGAGCTGACCATGAGAGAAATATTTGAACCATTTTCTAATGTTTATAATAGATATTTTATAATTTCTTTCACTTGTTTAAATAATTCTGTAGAGTTTTAAGTCTAATTAAACAGATAATTCCGACTAAATTGTAGTGATGTGAAATATTGGATGACAACAATGCTTATTAGAAATGCTTATTGTTTTCGAACAACTGAATTTTGACAAGGCAGATATAAATTCTTTACACGATGGATTAAACAAAAACTATCAACAGAAACATTTCTTTATATATATATATATATATATATATTAATTTTTAACATTTGAATTCAAAATAGTACAAAAAAATTGATAAATCTAAAATTATGCGAATTAAATATTACTATTAGTGTTGTAAACGCGATTTGAGGTATGCTCACTCACTTACTCACGTTGGGCACTTTGTGGTGTAATGTTTAGCAAGTTTGTTTCGTTATATCAATGACGGCTGAAAAGCGAGTTCGATCCTCACTGGGTGCTCAAATATTTTCTAACCTACTTCTAGAAAATCACTGTATACATGTAAACATTTGCTGCGTGGTAACAATGCGGACTGTTTTGTTCTACTGGTGCTGTGTTTCTCATTCTCTTTAAGCAACAGCACACCTAGAAACAAATGAAAATATCAAGGCATACTTAGCAAAATGTTTCTAAAGGCCATGCATTTAAATGTTATAAATTAAAACCATACATTTAAAAAAAAAATACACATACATATATGAACTTACTTTATTTCAATGTTTCTATTCAACTATTTGTGCAGCTTATTTAGTGTGAAACTTGTGTCTGTTTTATTTCTCTTTTCGCGATTTCTTCACTGTTTGGTCGAATGTGCGATAAGCTGAACTCCGTTTCTTCAGTTGAGCGTTGTCTTTGTCGCTTATTTTTTTTATGTTGTTTAGGGTTGAGAAGCCAAAATTCACATAAATTAGTGATGCAATGATTGGCTGGTGTCAGCCATAAATACAGACTGATGTGGACGACGCCTATTGGCTACGCCTATAGTCTTCGCCTATTGTCTACCACTACGACGAGGACTGTCCTACTCTGTTAGAGTAGTCCAAAACCACTTTGCTACTTCGAACAAATATATCCCTTTCCGGGACATATCAATTAGAAAATTAGCTAAAAAGGCTTCAGTTTTATTGCAATGGGGGATATTTCTTATGTATTGAAATCGAAAATGTTTCAATGGCTACCTTCGAATGTACTTTTTTTTTTTTTTTTTTTTGAGCCCTTGATCATTAGAGATGACGGCCAATTCTTCACATAACTGAAGTCTAATATTAGAAGGAACCTTTTTATGAAAGGATTTCGGATACAATCATACTTTCGTAGCACGGCGGTTAAGATTCCGTTCTGACGTAAGACAAAATTTAGGTTTGCACGAATTCATAAAGAAGCAACTAGAAATGTACCAGTTGTGTACATTAAGGTCACTAAGTCCAAACCCATATTTCTAATTTTGGTAACTGCAAACATTTTTCCGGAAAATAGGTTAACCATGATATTTATGAAGCCATAATTTAATTTGGCTCGTGAAAAAGAATGTTACACCAATCTTTCTAGTAAGGACGGCCTTTTTTTTTAATTTAATTTTTTTTTTTTATACTAAGATTTGAATTACCAATTGGCGCCTAGTAATCTCTATCTATAAAAGGCAAGATGTGTGTGTGTGTGTGTTTGTGTGTGTGTGTGTAACGAATGCACGGCCGCAATTTTCGACGGATTTGCACCAAAATTTACATGCACATGCTCCAAGTTAGCGTGAAGGCCAAGACCGACTTTGCATTTCCCAACTCCCATCGATAGTTTTTATGTAGTTTGCGGCCATTTTCTACTGGCCAGAGTGAGAGCCAATAGCTGGCTGCCATGAATAGGCAGGAAGATTCTATTGGCCAGCGTGAGAGCCAACAGCTGACTGACACGAATATTAACTAGCATGCAAAAAATCGATAGCTGCATTCGTCACAAGTGAGGAAAAATTTAAATCTGCATGGCACTTTACTCCAATTGGCTCATTCGCTTGCTTAAACTCAACGTTGATTCTGATTCCGCAGAACTGGGTTGGATGTGAAAAAGTATTTAACATTTTTTTTTTTTTTTTTTTTTCATTCGGTTTTTCCAGTTACGATTCCTTTTTTAAAGCTGATCGTTTTGTGTTCATTTTTAGTTCTTTTTTCGTAACAGATTTAATGTTTAGTATAGAGCTTAGAAAAAATTCGCAGTGTGAGATAGGCAAGAAGTAAGGCATGTAGCAACATCAGCACTGCAATGGGCACTCCATTAAAGGCAAGGAAGGGCAAAAATATTTTAAGTCAAGTGATAGCGATTGCTGTAAGAGTCGTACGATTTTTTGAATCAAGCACGGGCAACGCCGGGCCATGCTGCTAGTAATGTATAACTTAACGCATTTACAACGTAAATATCTTAAATCTTCATTGTAAACGGAACAACGTTGTTGATTTAAAGATAAACATGGCCAAGGGGACCCAATAGACAAAGGAGTGGCAAGGAATAAAGTTAGACCCAATAGACTAAATGGTGCTAAAGAGATAACCTCCATCTGGAGGTTGTTGGCATCAGATTCCTTTTCGCGAATATTGCGCATGTCTATATAAACGACTTAGAATTTTTACCGGCATTCGGGTTGTTTAATTCTTGCGCAAGAATTAGCATTCAATTTTATTAAATGGTTATTTAAGTTTTTTTTTATGCTTGTGTATAATAAATAGAAAGATATTTCAATGTAGCTAGTATAATTCTTAAACAGTAAAAATAACTTTATTTTTTTGCTTAAACGACATTTAATCAAATTTGAATAGGAGTTACTTATTAAAAAAATCTAGTTTTGATACTTTCTAAAATGTATCCTAACGAGGGGAAAAAACTATACCGAAAATCTGATGCAGCGAACACGGCTTTGTTGAATATTAAAAATTTGATTATAAAATATGGATTCTGATTTGTATAGCGAATCTTGAAGTTGATTCTTAAGTTTTACGTTTTTCGTTAAAAACTTCAGAGATCTTAAAATCGTATCAGTGAACATAAAATTCAATACAATAAAAGCTGTTCCAATTTTGGTGATTCTTGTAAAATACTGGTTTTCATTTAAATTCTGTCGCATCTGTCTATAGTTCTGAGATGAAGTATTGTAACTATTTACATTGCTTGGACTGTTATCATCATCTTTGTTATATTCATGTCGTTTCGGTTGTTGTACGCTCCAGCCTTCTTCAGGTGATATACGTTCGAATTTCGAACCGAACCCTTTATTTCGTCCACCAGGTTTTGTTACTAAAGGAAAAATACCTAAAACTCAGATAT